TTCGAAATTCTCCTCTTGCTTATCACTTGTTTCATTATATATCTTGAGAGGGATTTTGTAAATCTCTTAGAGAGCATTTCTTCGATGTGAGATTTTTGTTGAGTGCGAAAGAGTTAGGCTATGTTTGGTAAGCTTTTGGGCTTTTATTTCCATTTTATTCTGGAGAAAGATGTTTTGGGAGAAGAATTTGAAAATAAAATAAAGTTTGTTTGTGTTTTGAGAGGAGACAATTTGTACTGTAGCAAGTCAAATCATGTCTAAAATGTGTTGGAAAAAGTTATTTTGAAAGAAGAATTTGAAGAATAAAGTGATTTTAGTTTGTAATTTAGTGAAGACATTTTTCACTGTAGCAGTCAAATCATGTCTGTTAGAGAGAGAAAAATTTGAATTCTTTTTGGGGAAAGTTTTTGAAAATATTTCAAAAAGATAACTTTATTTTGGGGAAAAAATGAAAAGAATTTGAGAAGCGTAACAAACATAGCCTTAGTCTCTTGTAAGTACGTATTGATAAGTGCGAAAGAGTGAGTCTCTTGTAAGCACGTCGTTGGTGAAAGTTGTTAGAGTTTTGTAAGCACATCTTTTTTCGTGTGGGGAATCCAAGGATTTTGGAGGCACGTGGAATAAAAGTTCGAGGGCCTAGAAGAGTGGAGTAGGGGAATTTCTCCGAACCACTATAAATTTGGTGTCATTTACTTTACGCACTTTATTTTATCGTATTCAAATTTCCTCTCATATATTGTTTATTGCTAAAACTTAATTTGGCATTAATTTGGAAGTTTGCAAAATATTTATTACTTGAAATATTTTATTATCAAAGAAAAATATATTTTTCTAGAAATAATTTAATTGATATTTAAATCTGTAAAAATATTAAAAAGTTTTGAAAAGCCTAATTCAACCCCCTCTTAGACATATTTAATCTCTCAGTTATATATCTCTTCTATTATACCAACTAAACTATGATTACGGACTATAGTAGAAATTCGATAAATTAATAATTTTATTTAAATAATTTTTTTTTCGATTCGAATTCGTAAAAAAAATATACTAAATTATTAATTTGATAATTTTATATTTCACTAAATTTAATAGAATTTAGCGACGGAAGATAATATTTCAGACGGTTAAACTGTGGTTCGCAAATTAACATTTGTATATGTACCCACCATCATTTAAATTCCACGTTAATTAATATATGCATGGTTATAGATATGTTACTATGTTAGGCCTAACTTAATAATTTTGACTTTAAGAAGTCTGACTTAAATTAGTCTGAAAGGTGGCAATAATTTTTATATGTCGTAGATTTATAATTTGCTACATGGTCTATCCACACTCGTACTTGTTGGCGTTTATATATGGGAAAATTAGTAAAAAAACATTCATCTAGTAAATGTAGTTAAGCAAAATCCCCTTCAAAAAATAATTAGAAAAAACCCCATTAGTTAGTATTTCACTAAATATTATTTTTATAATTCCAAATCTACCCTTAATTGTTAATGTACTATTTTGAAACCCTAATTTCTCTCTCATTTTTCCTCACGCTCTACTGACCCATTGATTCCTTTCTCTCCCAAATTCTCCATCTCTGCCCCTCACCACCACCAGTACCTCTCCCTCGCCGTTCACCGCTACCGCCACCAGATCGATGAAAGGTGCCTCTGTTGACCAACGCCGTCTGCCCAAGGATTTCGACTCCATCAAGGCCTCTGACGCCCTCCCCCTCCCTCTATACCTCACCAATGCCGTCTTCTTCACTCTCTTCTTTTCCGTCGTTTATTATTTGCTCCTCCGATGGCGAGAGAAAATCCGTAACTCCACCCCCCTCCACGTCGTCACCCTCTCTAAGATCGCCGCCATCGTCACCTTCGTTGCCCCCTTTATCTATCTCCTCGGCTTCTTCGGTATACCTGTATATGAGGTTCACTTGCAGCACAGGGGATGCCATGGGGATGAACATGGTCTCTAAAGGTGTCCATAATGTCATAGACTTCCTCAACAACGAGTTCCCTGACATGGACGTTATCGGAATCTCAGGCAACTATTGTTCGGACAAGAAACCTGCTGCAGTGAACTGGATTGAAGGGAGGGGAAAATCGGTTGTGTGCGAGACCATCATCGAGGAGGAGATTGTGAACAAGGTGCTCAAGACTGATGTTGCTTCATTGGTGGAGCTGAACATGCTCAAGAAACTGACGGGTTCGGCCATGGCAAGAGCTCTGCGTGGTGTGGTGACGATGGGGAGGCTGATTTTGGGTTTTTTTGTGGATCGGACGGAGGACGCCGCGTGTAGAGAATTTCGATCAGGCTGAAACCTTAATCGACTATGTACATGTTCATAGTCGATTAAGCTAATCGACTATGTTCTGGTAGTCGATTAAGGTTGATCGACTCCAGTTTTTTTTACTTTTTTTGGATTTGTTGTTTATTGATTTCAATTGTATAAATCATTTATAATATTTGTATATTTTTTATTTTTGTAATATGTAGTTGATTTTGCATTTTTTTGCTGTTGTGATTTGTTATTTTTAGTAGCAGATTCTTAATCGACTGCGCTTCACATCATAGTCGATTAATATGCTTCATTGACTCCAATTTTTTTTTTATTTGGATTTTTTGTTTATTGATTCCAATTGTATAAATTAATTATAATGTTTGTATATTGTTTGTTTTTTTTTTAAATATAGTTAAATTTGCATTTTTGTAGTTGTGATTTGTTATTTTTAGTAGTCGTTTCCTTAATCGTCTATAGTTCATCATAGTCGATTTTAAATGCTTCATAGTCGATTAACATCAGAGAAAAAAAAGTTAAAAAACAAAAAAAAATTAAAAAAAGAAGAGAAAGACACGGTCATGGGGTGGGCTGATGGGTGGCTGAAATTTGGCGTGCGTTTTTCTCAAATGGTGCAAAATAGTTTGGGTATTTCTCTGTTAAAAGAAGTATTGAGGGGGTTATATCAAAGAGCCCATTTATATATAAAACGATGCACTATAAATAAAAGATCTTTATATGTTTTTTATAGACGTGGTATTTTCATCCTCAAAATATCTTATTTCAGCATAAAATTAAATATATATTGATGATGCTAGAAATAGATCACCTTAGATAGTTGATGTAGGATGAGCTGGAAGAGCATAGTGGATCACTGGCTCACGAGCTTGATGACCTTGAGATACCTGCGATCATCGAACACGTGAACTAGGCCGGGGGTTGATCCGGCGGAAACCCCTCCGACGCTCAAGTCAGACGTGTTGATCATAGAAATAGTCCAGAGAATACAGTTGATAGTATTGCTCAGTTAAATAGAACGTACCTTAAGGAATGAGTTCAAACCTTTATTTATAGCTTAGTTGAGATTGTCGGGCCCAAACCTTACTTGAAGGTGATTGGGCCTCGGTGATAGTGGTCTTCAATATTGGGTCCGTGGCCCAGTAGGTAAATAATTTGTAGGCCCATTGGGTTGGGCCAATCAGGCATATCATTAAGCCCCCCACTCTCGAGTCGATGTGGGGGTCATGTTGAAATGGGTGACAGATCGTGTCGAGAGTAAAAATTGTAGTAGTCGATGGTGTGCGAAAACGCGTTGGAGCGTGTTTCGGAGGGGCGTGAAGGCGCGTTGGCGCGTAGCGCGACCATGTTGTCGCGATGTAAGTTACTTGAGTCGTCGATGTTGTCCCACAACGATGTGGTAGCGCGGACCGAGTTCTTTCCTCGTGGGAGTTGTTATTTATTGACGGTGTCTATGGTTTGACACGTTGCTTGTATGTGTTTACATATAGCCTTGTGCGGGATGTACTTGATGAGTGGATCAGGCTCTCAAGATATATATATATATATATTTTTTTTATGGCGATCATGCCCCTTGTTAGACCTCGTGGGTCGTAAGTATTTTAGGATCGTGACCACGTTTTAATGAAGGACCCGTCGAAAACAAGTAGATAAATTTGAGTAATCAAGCTGGCCAGACTATATAGATTCCCATAATATCTCTAAGTGTTTCTAGGGTTGTAATTGTGCTAACTTGAGCTCGCGATTATATAGTCAATTGCGGGCAAGTTGTCTCCTCGTGGGAGTTGTCTCGCAATGAAGTTGTAGGAGCGTTGGATGACGCGCGACTGGGGAGCGTGCGGATTCAGGTCGCTCTGAGCGAGTTGTCTCCTCGTTGGAGTTGTCTCGCAACGAGTCTTATTACCGAGCGAGGTGGCTCCTCGTGGGAGTTGCCATGTATCGGGTTCGTAGTGCCGAGCGAGTTGGCTCCTCGTGGGAGTTCTCTCCCTGCAGGTTGTAGTATTGAGAAATTGGCTCCTCGTTGAAGTTGTCTCGCCGCGGGTTCGTAGTATCGAGCGAGTTGTCTCATCGTGGGAGTTGTCTCGCTGCGGGTTCGTAGAACCGAGGGAGTTGTCTCCTCGTGGGAGTTGTCTCGCTGCTGGTTCGTAGTACCGAGGGAGTTGGCTCCTCATGGGAGTTTCTTCGCAACAGGTTTGTTGGACCGAGCGAGTTTGCTCCTCATGGGAGTTGTCTCGCAACGGGTTCGTAGTTCCGAGCGAGTTGACTCCTCGTGAAGTTGTCCCGTTGCAGGTTGTAGTACCGAGGGAGTTGGCTCCTCGTGGGAGTTGCCTCGCAACAGGTTTGTAGTACCGAGCGAGTTGGCTCCTCGTGGGAGTTGTCTCGCTGCGGGTTGGTAGCGCCGAGCAAGTTGTCACCTCGTGGGAGTTGTCTCGCAACGGGTTGTAGTACCGAGCGAGTTGGCTCCTCTTGGGAATTGTCTCGCAGCGGGTTGTAGTACCGATCGAATTGACTCCTCGTGGGAATTGTCTCACAACGAAGTGGTAGGGGGCGATCGAGTTGGATCGCAATGGCTGTGGAGCGACGCGCGTATCTAGGTCGTTCGTGTGGATCAAACTCGCGCGATAGATGAAGCTCGCGGATCGATGTCGGACGGTGGAGGATCACGTGGATCGAGGTCGCGTGCGCGGATTGGGGTCCCGCGGTGGAGGAGTGTGCTGGGAGGAAGAGTGCGCGCGCGTAGCGCGGATAGAGTTGCCGGCGCGGGAATGCCGAAGATGCCTGCACGTTGCGGCGTGCAAATGGCGAAGACGCGCGCGCGTTGGGGCGTGCGATTGATGGAGATGCGGTCGCGTAGCGGCCCGCGACTAGAGATGGAGACGGGCATGCGAAACGCAGAGACTCGCGCGCGATATGCGGGGATGCGGAACGCGTGCGCGGATGCTAGCGCGTAGATGCGGATGCGGAGCACATGTGCAGATGCAGATGTGGAACGCGCGGATGCGGAACAAGCGAATGGTGAGCGCGCGGATGTAGAGCGCATGCACGGATACGGATGCGGAGAGCGCGGATTTGGAATGCATGCGCGGATGCGGATGTAGAGTACGCGGAAGCGGAGCACATGTCGGATGCTGATGTGGACCGCGAAGATGTTTAGCGCGCGTATGTTAATGCGGAGCGCATGCGGATGTGAAGCTCACGGAAGCGGAGCACATGTGCGGATGCGGATGTAGACCGCATGGATGCTGAGCGCGCGGATATGGAACGCATGCTAATGTGGAGAGCACGGATGTATAGCGCAAGCGCGGAGGCGGATGTGGAGCGCATGCCCGGATGTTGAGTGCATGTGCGGAGGCAGATGTGGAGCGCATGCGGATGTGGAGCGCATGCGCGGATGCGGAGAGCGCGGATAGGGAACGCATGCGTGCGGATACGTATCACATGCGCTGATCCAGAGGTTGAGCGCATGGAAGCGGGGCACATGTGCTGATGCTGATGTGGACCGCGCACATGTGTAGCGCGTGGATGTGAATGCGGAGCGCATGCGGATGCGAAGCGCACGGAAGCAGAGCACATGTGCGGATTCGAATGTAGACCGCGCGGATGCTGAGCGCGCAGATATGGAGCGCATGCTAATGTGGAGAGCGCGGATGTGGAGCGCATGCGCGGAGGCGGAGCACGTGTGCTGATGCAGATGTAGAGCGCATGGAAGCGGAGCGCATGTGCTGATGCTGATGTGGATCGCGCAGATGTTGAGCGCACGAATGTGAATATGGAGCGCATGCGCGGATGCGCAAGCGGAGAGTGCGGATGCGGAGGACATGCGCCGATGCGGATGTGGATGCGGATCGCACGCTCGTCGCTAGGGACGCGAGGTTGGGGATGTGCTATCGGTGGAGTAGAGAGATCATACCCAACTCTTGAGATGAGATGTGAAACTGTTGGAGTTGAAAGGTATGGAGGACGTACCACCCTTGTGATGAGATGTCCAACCATTTGTATGAGATGCCAAACCTTGTGGTGGGATAGCCCCCATCTTTGGATGAGGCGATCACGAACCCTGTTATGGTTTTGAAGGACTCCAAGTGTCGTTGACATCATTGGAAGGAGGAGCTCGTAAGGGAGAGGTGTTGGCTCTCGGAGGTGAATGTGGGCAATGTTGCGCAGTTCGCACTTGTCGGCGATGAGTGAGTTGTTACATTCGGGACCTATGGTCCGAAGTGCATGCCCACGACACACTCGCTTGGTGGTTGTTACCTTATAGCGGTGGTTGCGCCACAGCTGGAGCCGCAGGAAGAGCGTTGACTCCTGCTATGGCGATGTATTGTGCCACTGTTTCAGGGGCAACACGAGTTGAAGTTTCCGCGGTCATACGCTGAAGGTCCTCTTCGGTTATCTGAACCGTTCGAGGTGGCCGAAGGTAGGCCCGCAAGGGAGTCGATAACCCTTGGCGAACGAAATTTTTTGGGGGCACTGTAAACCCCCAGGGAGTCGATTACCTTTGGCGAACGAAATGTTTAGGGGGGACATTAAACTCCTAGGGAGTCGATAACCCTTGGCGAACGAAATATTTTGGGGGCTTAAGCCCCCAGGGAGTCGATAACCCTTGGCGAACGAAATGTTTTGGGGGCACTGTAAACCCCCCGGGAGTCGATAACCCTTGGCGAACGAAATATTTAGGGGGCAGAGGTAAGCCCCCAGGGAGTCGATAACCCTTGCTAGCGTTGAAGGGCCTCCTCGATTGTCTGAACCGATCGAGGGGCGGGAAGCACTGGATCCTATTGAGGATCTAGTGGGACATCCGAGGAAGGTCTCGTGGTGGATGCCGAGCACGAGCAGGAGGAGGTGGCAAGCCAGAGCCTCCACGAGGTGGGAGGTCGTTAGCAGTTACACTCCCCCTGAGCAAATGTCTCAAGGCCATCATGCGCGCTACGTGATTATGTCTGTCTTCCCACAGACGACGCCAAAATGATGATGCTAGAAATAAATCACCTTAGATAGTTGATGTAGGATGAGCTGGAAGAGCAGAGTGGATCACTGGCTCACGAGCTTCATGACCTTGAGATACCTGCGATCATAGAACACGTGAACTA